ATATAATTAATATTATATACTAACTCTATCAAGGTTTCATGATGTAAACCAGCACTTGCGTATTTGAATATGTTGGAGAAGTTTCTTTGGCTATATCCAGATTTTGAGAGGATCACCTGGTGATATTAGAGCTGTTATATTGAAAGGAGGGGACAATTCTGCTTAATTCTGTTTTTCCAGAAGTATGTATTTTATAGAAAAGAGATATTTTAGCAAAATTTTCGGGCAGAGAGGGCCAAATTTGAGATATGTCCAAGTTCTTTGTGCTGCCTAAAAGAGCAATTTGCATTCTGTAACTCTGACTCATACCTTTTAATTTTCGATCCAACCCCTTCAGAGACACCATCATACTTGCAAATCTGTCTTGTGATGATCCAAATACCTTTGTAAAATCCTATTTCCTTTTAAAAATAGAAAGAGAACAAATTAAGAAATCTTAAGACGTTTTGCAAAAGACATTAGAAAAAGGCTTTTGTCCAACCCTAGTGTTTATGCCATTGTATCTGGTGTGACTAAAGGACCAAGATCACATTACGTAAAAGCCTGATACTTAGGAGGTTTTCTGTGGTGTTGCAGTTGTTGGAATCTGGAATAACTTGGAGGACAAAAGTATCTGTGGATATTTTCTGAAGACTTCTTGTTTTGCCTTTCAATAGATGAGTAAAATGTTGAGCTCTATTGAATCATCCTTCTTTTAATTTGTTTTCCAGATGATGAAGGTTCAGCAATTCTTCAGAAAGCAGAGGTAGAAATTATTGACCAAACATTATGTTATTCCACATATGGGATTATCACAGCTAGGATGTTTTGTGCTGGACTAAAGTCTGGGAAAAGAGATGGGTGCAAAGTATGTATCTTTACTCACCTTGCATAGAGTTTATCTTGCTTTTCATTGTTGCATGATGAGATGTAAGAACTGAGTGGCAAACCACGTTTTGGTCTGTACACTTCAGTTCTGAAAAACAGCAATATAAGAATTCTCTATCAGCAAATCTGTCACTGAGGTGTTTTCAGTTGTGCTGCTTTATGTATATGAATAGCATCACTAAATTTCAATTGCAGGCCAAGGGCCCGTCAATTTGCGAGTTCCCATAACAAGTTGAAGTCAGCCAATTCTTGCTACAAGAGTCTCAGTTGAAGAAACTGAGAAACTAGTTTGTCTATTTAGGATCCCTTCCTCTAAGCTTGGAACTACAGGGCTGTTTGATGAGGTGCAGACAGCTAGGCTTAAACTTTCAAATGCATAATAAATCTGATTTGGGAATGCTGAAAGGTAATAAATGTCAAGTTCTGAATTTACTTCTAGTGAATAGTCATAAAACTATATATATATGCAAACCATAATTAATATAAAATAAGGAATATTATATAAAATATATATGTTTTATAATATATACTATGTTATATAGAACTTATATAAAACATATATTTATCGCTAAAATAGTAGTAAAACTGCTATTATTTTTTTTATGATGGAGATCTGAAATCTTCAAGATGTTCTGTATTTCACTGGTCTACATAAAAGTGAGAGAGACCACTAGCAATGTCTGAGGGCTTTCTGAGAGAGTGTAACACACCAGCTAGTTTTTAGAGATTAGTGAGACCATTGACTTTAAGCCTCATTTTCACTAAATGGAGAATTTGTTTCTGCAGTTATCTGTCTGGCCACTCAAACTATAACCAAGGAAAGGCATAATTTACAGGTCTTTTGGCTGCGTTTCTGTAAGGGCAAATGATGTGTGACTGTGTCTGGCAGTTGTTAGAGCTGATTGAAATGTGGGATTTCGGTCTTGTGAAAAATGCTGGTGTTCCACTTTTATCCCAGGAAATAAAGAAAAAAGTTGAAAGTTTGAGACTCTAAATGCAAAATATTAATTGTCAAGGATGGAAAAAATTACCTTCTAAGTTAAATCGTCAACAATTTTGTGAGGCAATTCAAGATAATTCTGCTTTGAACAGCAGGTGGTTTTACTTAAATCGCCTCCTGATGTCCCTGCCAGCCTGCATATCCTAAGGTCCTGTAAAGTTAAAGCAAATTGTTAGCCAGAGCTGACAAAATATATGTCTAGAAGGAAGGCACTTCAGCTGCAAAACATTTAAAATTAACCAGCTCACCTTTGGCTTTTGGAAATCTTTTATTACGTCCAATGCTTTGGTGAAGTTTAATTCGCTACTAGCTGTTTGTTTCAGAGAAGTTGTGTCTAGAGAAGAGTCCTACAAAAAAGTATGAGCTTGGATCCAAGTGATTTTCCCCAAATGATGGCACTTTCTTCTATTTTCCCCTGAATGTCTGCTAATATGTTTCTGCAAAAATACTGTATAAAGGAAAAGTATTATTTGCAATATCCTGTATTATGGAATTATGCCATGCTGTATAAAACTTTGAAGTCTATAATAGATGTCTTTTTAATTAGGGCAGTTAAAATGAAATTATGTGCCCCTAAACATTACCTGCTGGCTTATATCTACTAAAGGACAACACTTAGGCTTTTCCCCTTCTTAAAAAAAATCCAAATGAGGGATCGGATCTGTTTCCATATACTTTAAATTTTAAATAAGTTGTTATTCAATTCTACAATTGTTTTTTAATTTTTAATTTTTTAAAAAAGCTTACTTTTTTTTTGAATCCTTAGGTGTGTAATCTATAAATGAACATGCATATTAAGTAGCAGATTTTGGAGTTAGCTGTAAGTTTGAGGCTAGGAAGTTAATGGTGAATTTTAAACCTAGTCCATGAAATGTAATATTGTTGTTATTGTCTTTAAAGAGTGAGAGGTAGCCCTGTCTCTTGTGAAAGAACAAATTTTGGTACAACTTTGCAATCCCATCTGCTTCAAGAAAAAAAACCTGTTGACTATCTGATGGTTTGGACTGTGTGAATGGGAAAATATAATCACTGTTGGAATTAATTCTGTGGAATTTTGTCTCAGTTTTAATAATCTGTATTGCAAACACATACAACTCAATATATTCTTTTTAGGGTGATTCCGGTGGACCATTGTCATGTCAGAGCAACGGAGATGGAAAATGGTTTTTGACTGGCATTGTTAGCTGGGGTTATGGATGTGGAAGACCAAATTTCCCTGGTGTCTACACAAAAGTGTCAAATTTTGCACCATGGATTCACAAATATGCACCTTCAGTCTTGTAAATTGAAAACTATTTTGCTGGAATAAAACATGTTCGGGATACCTTCATTAAAATTCATATTTAGTAAAATTGTTCAGTGCTGGAATTTCTTGGCAGGTCTCCCTGCTTACTCTTACTTCTAGAGTACACATATGGAAGTAACAAATACCCTTTCATCAAACCTTGGTGGAAGAGGAAGAGACTGATCTTGCAGTGGTTTTTCTATGCAGATGTCTGGAAACACAGGAGGAGGTGCAATAATAAATTTTCAGCACTATGTGTTAACTTTCCAGGTGCCAGCTAAGTGCATGTGCAATCATCTAATCGGTAAGCTGAAGAAACAATTGACTACCTAGAGACAGAGCTTAGGTCATGGTCATATCCTCTGAGATGTATATGGCCCAATACAGTAGTGACTGTGAAGTAGTAATCAAATGTTAGTACTCTTGAAATACTACTTTTTCTACCTCCTCCAGCAAGAACAGCTGATAAAGGAGGGGAGAGAAGGGATTGCAGAAAGTGAACTCAATCCTCTCAAATCCACAGAGCCCTCATTTTTGGACATCAGAAGGTCTGTGGTTAAGCATGGAAGAAAACATTATTCTTATTTATTCTCCAACTTCCATTTTAATTAACTGCATGGTTTGAAGCTACTAACTCTTATTTCCTGCCTTAATTTTTCCCATATTCAAGATTATTCACAGTTCATCCACTTTAGAATTTGAATTTTTTATCTGCAGGCAACCTTAACAAGATGAGTAAATATGGTGGTATTGTCCTTGCCCAAATAAAACCAATGCTTCTACCATCTGAGAGGTATTTTAAACAGCTGTGGAATTAGGTTCTCTGACTGTATATATGATTTTTAGAGATGACGCAAAAGAGATTTTATTTCCTCTAGGCTTTTTCTGTTGGTTTCTTTTCCATGAAGGATGGGGCAAAGGATCAATCAGCAGGTTGTCTGTGTAGCGGAGATAGGCTGCTGAAAAACAGAGGACTTAACAAAGCAGTCAGTCTACAGTTGCAGTTTGCATTCCTGAGCTGTGAGGATTGCCTTCCAATTAATCCCTTTTGTAAGTCTCCATGTGTTGGGATTGGTTTGTTCCAATTTTGTTTTCTGGAGCTGAGGTTTCTTGGGCCTGTTTTGTTTTTTCAGTTTTTGTTCTTTGTGCATGTGTGATCTGTCTCTCCCTCCGTGTATAAAATATGTTATTTCCCCAAACACATCCTTGAATTTCTTATTTTACATGCAGAATACCCTGAACTTGTTGGCTTGCTGACTTCAAACATTAATTTCAGGAAATGTGAACATGAATCACTTTGCAACTACGTTTATTCTGTGGTACCAGCTTGAGGCTGGAAAATTCAGGTGGTCTGTGGAATTGTGCATTTCTTCTCTCTCATAAATATTTCTGTGGATTGCTGCAGGTGTTCATTAGAAATTGCCTCATTTATCTTGCTCAGGGATTTTTTTACCTGTAAATTGCTTGCATGTCCTTTGCTTTTGTGTCATAAATTATTTGCTATTCTTGTATTTCTGAAGGAAGTGGGTAGCTGATCTGTTTTCAAATGATGGGATCCATATCCTACTTAGCCAGTTAGGGAAACAAAGAGTTACAGTGATGGTAACTTTTTTCCTCCCCACCTTCTTTGATTGCAGATCAGCTGGCTCCAACTTCAAGCAGTATGGCAAAGGGGAAATGAGAGAAGCCTGGTGTGCATGGTGGGGAGAGCAGTATGCTACTCTGGATTATGTTTAAAAATGAGGTTCATTTAGGGCTTTGTTATTAGGTTTGTCAGAAGGCATTTGTCAAGGCATCATGACACGGGCTTTCCCCTCCAGCCGGGTTTCTGTGTACAGCATACCAGCTCCATACGACTCTGAGCAGACTGCGGGGCAGGTAAGAGATACTAAGCTAAGCTTTACAGCAGGAACACAGTAAATGATCTCTCTGCCCACTCTGGTGTGTATTGATCTCTGCTCTTCGTATGCAAATTTCTCCTAACCAAAGTGATAGCAATTTCCCCCCCCACTTACACAGCTTGAAATGCATGCCACAAAAAAGCAGCTGAGAAATATGTGGGTTTCGTGTGTGGCATAGCTGATAACATGAAATATATAATTTCAATTTAATCCCCTTTAAAAACTAAAAGGGCAACTATACAAAAATATGGTACAATAGTTACTCTTTTGTTATCTTACTGATTGATGCCTTCCCGTGTCTTTCTCTAGGAAAGTCCGCATATTCACTACTGCCCTCCCTACCAAGGGGGCTTGTGTCAGAAGTACCGTCTCTTTGAATGGATGAGGTTGTGTTTCTGGAGAAGATGGCTTCTAGGAATATTGCTTATAGTTTCTTTAATAGTTACAGTAATTGTGCTAGTCCTGCACTATTCGTTCTGTAAGTGTTACTCCCCAGCGTGATCTGGATGGGACGGGTATTTTCCACTGTGTGAAAGATTAGTATGAAAAGCTCTGCACTAAGCAGCTAAGCACGCAATGCGTGTATAAAGGAGATTTTCCCTTCTCCTTAATGTCTTTGCTTAGGCAACAAAATGCATATTAGCAGTTGATGGTTGCACAAGAATAATTAAGGTATATATTCTACCTCAAAGTTTTTTGTTTCTGCTTGTGGTTACTGTCATTGTTGTAACTGTTATCTTTCCCAAGAACCTATAGGAATTAACTGTCTATCTTCTATTAGCTTTTTCAAAACAGAAAGGGTACTAACTTACGTACACTCCTCCCTAGATCTCAGCTTATAGCCATTGAAATCATATCTGTTCAGGAGGATAGCACTACAAAAAATGGAATTGTAAAAATTAAATCTTGCTAGAAGTGCCTGTCTGAACCTGTACCTCATCCCTCTCCTTTCCTTATGGACAAGCTTTTCCATAATGTTATTAGGTGTGCTAATTTTTATCCTCTTTTTTTTTCTCAGCTCCAGCTTTCTCTTTTATTTATATTGGTGGAAGTGTAGAAATTCCTAACATGACTTACACAAATTACCTCAATGATCCAAAGTCACAGAAATTCCTCCTGCAAGCAGAAGCAATCCAAAATTATGTAAGTTCCCACATAAGTATAGTAATAACTTAAAAATATTAATTACAGAATCAAATTGGGAATGAGGTGAAGACTCACAATTAGTTAGTCACAATTTCAGTTAGTCACAATTTTTTTTCATTAAAAATAGTAAATCTAAAGCTAGCAAGTGCCTCAGCTGTGTACAGCTTTAGGAATGTAGCTAGCCAGCTGCAGCTCTGTCTCACAGTAAGGCCAACACTTCCTAGGTGATAAAACCTGTGGGTTTCAAGGTTATGGAAAAATTATTCTTCTTAAAGGAGTTAGGAGTGTGGTTTTTGTTTTGTTTTACTTTTACTCAAACACTCTTCCTCTCTACATTTTTTTCTTTGATTTTTTTTTTTAATTATAGCTAAAATTCAATGCTTAACTTTGTTTTGTTTTCCCTTATCCCCCACAACAATGCTTGCTTTCTTGCACTTACGTGAGTTCCTATTTGTGAGATCAATACTGTTTCCTGGGTACATGTGAACAGCAGTCTTAAATACAAAGCAATTCTCTGTTAGACTGTATTTCCCAAAAGAGCTAATCCAGTGTCTCAAAGCTACTTTGTGCACAGCCACTACAAGTTGCTCATGTCCATATTCTATGCTGGAAATTTAAAGACTGAAACAAAAATATAAATGTGTTCGTAAAGTCTTCTTTTTCATGGCTAACTATCAAGAGTTATCTATCTCTGTGGTCTTGAAATGTGATGTGACTTAAAAGTAATTTTTTTTGTAGTGGAAATGAACGCCCATTTATGTTCCTTATTTGATATATTTTGTGAAAGTAATGGATAATACTTGTAACATGGGAGGGAGGTGAGGAAGAGGAAAGGAAGAAATAAAACAAATACTTCAGAACATAGGAGATTATATTGACACTAAAATGTAACACTGTTTACATTTTCTGTTGTCATTATTTAACTGTCAGTTTGCAGAATCATATAAGTCTTCCTCCTTGGGAAAGTACTACTTGAAATCTGAAGTCGCTGCTTTCAGGTAGGTTCTGTTCCAACATGTGTTATAAATTTGAGATATTCGATTGTGTTTGTCTTATCTTTTTTCCTGCATTTAAAATTAGTTATCTAGAAGAATGTGCAGATCTCCTTAACAGCGAATGAAAAATGCAGGAATGCACTTGAGTATGTGAGCTAAGAGCTAAGCTAATAATGATTTCTGTCTTGCCCTGTAGAATTGTTGGGAGAAATCAAGTCTGATTAATCGTGGTTTTGTTTGCAGATTGCTCTGTAATCTATTTAACGACTTTTGATTTTTGAAATCACAGT